CCATAGCTCACTATTTTTTACAAAAATATTTAGCGCTTACAGCCACACCATTGCCATTTTGCTTTACCATCATCCTAAAATCTTTTCCCAAACTAGGCATTTAATTGCTTGAGGTTCCTACAGTTGACTAATCTTCTCATCTGCTATGGCTAATCCACAGTATCTTCTTCTTTTCTACCAAGTTCTATTAATTATGTCATCAAATTTTTATTGAGCCCCTATCATATGTCCCCCTGTGTCCACCCAGCTTATGAAGACACATTTTTTTGTAGAAACTTCTTAGTCCATCTGCTACACTCATCAAAAATGTAGACTGACTATAACTACTAAATCACTATTTTGCAGCTTTGGATAGCAGTCTCCCATTAGGGATATCAGTTTCGTGGTTTGCCACTGGCACTTATTTTTAAAGAGAAATAGAAAGCAATAGAAAATATCAGTGTGCACTGCTGGTAGTAAGGCAAGCATTACTTTGGAAACTTTTGTTTCAATTTTACAGGTGCATTTGCATTTATGTTGCAGTGTAAAATATATTTTTTACTGAGAGTCTCTGCCAACATTGTTTGAAAAACACTTCCCTGGACTAAAGGTCCTTGAGAGTAGAGAGTATGTATGTTTTCTATATCCAATTAAGCACATCACTGCAGCTCAGATGTGTGGGTATTTACCCCTAATTTTGAGAGAAAGGTCATTGCTCGCTGATTCTGAATACCGACTGTGAGATTTGCAAATGATGTTCTGATGTTCCTGATGTGATTGTTTATTCCTCCATTTATCAATGAGTTATCAGACAGTGGGCTGTCTAGGTAGCTTGCTTCAGTGACTTTTTGTAAAACAAAAAAATCTTACATTAGCTATGCACTCATTTAATTCCTTTCCAAAACACTTTTTATCATGTGGACATGGTCTTAGCACCTTGAATGTTAATTATCCACTTAGATGGTACTGGTTATTCCTGTGGGGAAAATATATTTAATGAGTAAGTCTGGGGAAAAAACATTCAAAAATATACCTTTTCAGTATGATTTATGCAAAGCCTGTTTTGGAAGTCACATGGGATAGAGAATTCCAGGTCAAACCCCAGATTTTTGCCCTATTTCATGCTTACACCCAAGTTCCATGAGTCTAGACTTTCGATTGGTTAAATTATGTATGTGAATGAACCTCTAAATTATGTCAAGTTACAAATAAGTGAACCCTAAACAGGAATATTGTAAAATATGGAAACTACACCCCATCCTCCACAATGTATATCCAAGGAATTTTAGAGTCAATCTCATGTATCAAGTGGAAAGTGGCTTTGAAGTAAGAAAAACTCCAGGTTGGTTGGAGTTGGGGGAAGGATGAGAGAGGTTTTTATAAAAAATGAAGGAAACCAGTTTCAAGAAGAAATCGGTGCTAGAAATTGGGCCATCAGCACTGCCCAGTGCTAAGACAGAGCATTGGAGATTAAAGGATGGAAGCTCACTCTCCTCTGGATGATGGGACAACCCCTCAGTGCTCAATGGATTAAAAATCAACTCTGTTTTTGCTTGTTCTTAGTCACAAATTGTTTTGGCCCAGAATAAAGTCAAACAGTGTGGATGGAAAAAAAAGTTGCCAAATATTCATTTCCTTTGGGACTTCTTGCCTCCTATACAACGAGGCTGGGCTTGCTTGGGTGGATTATTATTCAACGTTTTCTTTCTCCTTACCACTTATTTTTTTGCAAAAAAATCTCTGTAAGGCTCAGCCTAGAAGTATGCATGGATTACAAATCATTGGATTTCAATCTAT